TTTTTTTAAATTATTATTCTTCTTTTCTGTTTTTAATATGGTATTAAAATTATAAACTCTTGGTTCTTTTCTTTTATTATTGCCATTTGGTTTTTGGAGTTGGATTTTCAAATCCATTTAAGATCTAAGACTGTCCTTGGATCTCTTCTCTTATCGATTAAATTGTTTATTCTCAATTTTCAGACCCTTTTGAGGTATTTCTTTAGTCTGTTACTTCGATCTTAATATTTATTTCTTCATATTTTTAAAGTGTTTCAATATTGTGAGTTTTACTAATTCTATAACGAGTTTTGAATCGACTGTAACTCATTCTACTACTACTATAATTGCCAAAGAAGTGATAGACCAACCTAATGTCAACATTGAATTCCTAAAATAGATGCTATTAAATATTACTAATACTCTTATTGCCTTATCTATTGTTCTAGATACCAAACCTTAGTATTTTGATTCTAGTTATTGTAATCATATGCCTTTAATTACTGCTCATTTCTCTTCAATATCATCAAATAATTCCTTTCTTAATATTTATTATGCTAATGATTCCATGTGAATGTTAGTTACATTAGCAAAATTTCCACAAAGTCATTGATTTTACCAAATGCCTTCTTAGTTCCAAAATTTAGTTATAATCTTCTATCTATTGGTCAATTATGTGATCTTGGTCTTGAAGTAACATTTTTTGTTCATGGTTGTCATATATGGGACCCACGAAGAAGACAACTTCTTTGAACAAGTCGCAAGGTGGGGTGCTTGCTTGAGCTCAACTATCTACATATTCCTAATTTTGAAATGGATACACCATCATTTTCAAATGATAGAGTCATCTAAACTCTACTTTGTGCTGTTGAATTAGAGTCTTTGCAAATTCCATACTAACAAATCTTCCAAGCTTATGTTGCAACTAACATTTCTCCTCTTTATTTGCGGCACTCATGGCTCGGACATACCTTAGTTGATAAATTTTGTCCACTTATCTCTGGTGGTTTATTAAGATCTATTCCAAATGAATCTTTGCATTGTGTGTTGTCATGTCAATTTACAAAACAACTAGCTTTATCTTTTTTTAGTAGTCATTCTCTTTCTACTGTTTCTTTTGATCTCGTGCATTCTGATATTTGGGTCCATCTCTAAAACCTACCATGGGAGATTTTAGATACTTTATGTTATTTATTGATGATTATATTCATTTTACCTAAATATATTGTGATACCCCAAAATTTTTAGAATAAACAAGTGTTAGTTAAGGACTTGATTGTGAGGAAATGCTGTTTTGGGGCTTAATGGCAAAATGTTCAAAAGTTGAGGGACTTAAAGAGGGAAAGATTTTGGATAAGGATGACTTCTTTTCTTTTTCCTTTTCCTTCTTTCTTTTCTTCCCAGCCTTGCCCGATTCTGTTCTTCTTCTTCCCGCTGCATCCCGACAGCCCCCCCAAGCTTGCCGACCTGCATGCTTGAAAAATTGGTGAGAAAGCTTGGTTTTTATCCTTCTTTTCTTGCTTAAAACCAGATTTGAACCCAGAAAATCTCCCCCCCTGCAGGAAGCTTCCGGATCTGCCTTGCTCTGCTCCTCACCGCCGGCTGCTCCTGCTTTGTGGGGGCGAATTTCTCTGATTTTGGGTAAGAAACAGCCATGAATCTCCCTTCTTTAGCTTTGAATTGCCTTGGGTTTACTTTAATTGCTCTTATTTCCTCCAATTTTGGGTAGACCCGTGAGCTTCCCTGCACTTGCTGCCGACTTCTTCTCCCTGCAGCTCCGGTTCCTTGCTTGCAAATTCTGGTAAGTGGCAGCCCCATCTAATTCCTAATTTACCCCTTTAATTGTTGAATTTTGTCCATGGATTGGCTGCCCTTGTGATATCCGAATTTTACAGAAAATAGGGAGGAATTCCGGTAGCCTTTGAACATGTTTTAAGCTTGGTTTAAGTGTAAATTAGCTTGATTTAGATTGTTGTGATTTTTGGAGAGAAAATCCCGTGAATTAGCTAGTGTTTTGGCTAATTTTGGAAGTGCAGTTACTGTTCACATCGTGGTACTGTTCACGACACTGTTCACATATTACTGTTCACACACCGAGGGTCGACAATTAACGGGGATTTAAATGATTAGTTTATGATATAAGAACAAATTTGAAGATATCTGATAATGTGGAGATTTATAGAAATAGCATTGTGATTAGGGGATGATCCTAATGATGATTTCGGTTAAATTTGTGATAGTACGGTATTGATTCTGAGGTATTTTGATTAGGTTTCCGATCGTTCTATCAGTTAGCACTGAGATTGAGTGCTCGGTTTTATGCGAGTGAGGTAAGTAAATTTATGGTAATGTCCGTACTGTTTTTAAAAGCATGTTTGATTTGTTTTTGAAGTGGTGACAGGACTAAACCCGTTTTACACAAGTATGATTGATTTGAAGTGAAGTGTTTTATGCTTTTCATTAAATTGAGCATGCCTACTTGAAATTTAATTGATTGTCCTGATGATTTGAAAGTAATTGGTGAATTATGATTTCTCTGTTAACTTCAGCCTGTTTTGTCTCTGATGTGGTCATGTTATTAGTGACTCTACTAGTGGGGATTATACGCTAGCACATGTCGGCATGTTAGTGATAGAGCCGGTTCGTACACATGTCGACATGTTAGTGATAGAGCCTTGTGCATAGAGATTTGTTCCAAAAGAATTATCTTTTTTATTTTAAATTTATCTCAAATTAATTGTTGCTTTTTTATTTTTTAAAGTAGACAAATTTTTTTTTTTTGTTTTTTAACCTTATCATTATTTATTTACTTTAAGAACTTATTTGTAAAACATGAATGATATTATTTGGATATTTTTCTATAGTAGTTTATTAAAATAAATATGAAGGATATTTTTTCTATAAATAAACACGAATGATCTGAATTTTTCGCTAAATTTTTTAAAAATTTAGTTGATAACGTATGTTGAATGAACACATGTAAAAGGATTAGATTACGAGAAAATTATCAAAGATTGGGTTTCCTTATTTCTATTCAACAACATACGAATAGTTTTGTGATTTTGTCTAAATGGTTGTTGAATCCTTGCTTCAAAATAAAATGAATTTTTATTGGTATCATTTGAAGAAGTTTTTAACATAGTGGGAAAACCTTTAATGGTATAAATTTCATAATAAAATAGTAATAAGATAAAAAATAAAAATAAAAGATAAACAACAGAGAGGAGAAGGCATGATATTACAAAGTGTGAAATAATATCAAAACATCATGATGTATCAAAAGCCCTGATCCAATGTACAAGCCTTTATAGCCTTTGTATGTTTATTTATTTTTTCTTGTTCTTATTTTACATATAATCAATCTTATTTATATGGAGGGGATATATAATATAAGAAAATAATAATTAATTGAAAATCTCATATTAATAAGAATATAATTAATATCAAAATTTTAAAATAAATTGATTTCTTTTTAGTGGATTTATCTTTATAATAATATGATATTCTTTCCTTTTACAACCAAATCAATCATTACATAATTTAATCCTTATTTTCTCTTTTTTACGAAAGAATCAATGATTTTTATGATTTGATTATCTTTACTATGTAACTTATTAGTAGAGTTTAGTCCCAAACCTCAATCTATTATTCCTTTTTTTTTATATGAGTTTGTCTATTATGTACTTTTAGAATACAAGACAATAAATAATTATTAGTTAATAATTGTCATTTTTTTAAAAATGTGAAATTTTAAATTAAAAAAATAAAATTTAATTTCAATTTCAAAATAAACAAATAAAAAACTAACACATTACATTTGAAATTAAAATAAAAAGTAACTTTGTTATTTTCAAGATAAGAAGTAACAATAATTATGTAATTATTACTTT